ACCGAGAGAGTGGTCAGGCATTGGAACAGGCTGCCCAGGGAGGTGGTGGAGTTGCCATCTCTGGAAGTGTTCAAAAAACGTGTGGATGTGGTGCTTCAGGACATGGTTTAGGGGACATGGTGGCGCTGGATTAATGGTTGGACTTGATGATCTTGAAGGTCCTTTCCAACCTAATGATTCTGTGATTCTGTGATGAAAGCTTAATCATATGTGATATTTAAACCTCAGCTTGAAAAAATAATCCAGTGACAGGGTAAGGATAGGAAAATACTAGCTCCTGCAAAGGAGTAGTTCATTGTTACTGAGTAGATCTGCCAGTAACCATTGCCCAAAGAAAACTGCCTGTTTGATCAGTAGATCAGGAAACGTCTGAGAGAGACACCCTTTGTGTACAAATGCCAACTGACTATGTGTTCTCCTGCTTTACCAAACCCCTTTCCTCACTCTGATTTTTATAGTTAACTCAGCCACTGTGTGCAGTTTAGTATTAACCTTATCCCCCTTAGATCTGAACTGTGAGACCAGTTGGTTTCCTTCAGCAAAGTGCATGGATGCAAAGAGCCTGCCTTAGTCCAGCTCTTAGTGGCAGAAGCCACACAATCCTCCTGCCTGCACTACTCTGGGAGCAGATGTAGTTTACGCATTCACTGCTGCTAGAGCTAAGCATCCTTGAAAATGAAACTTCAGCATTTGTCTTTCTGCCTGTTTATAAAGCACTGTTGAAATTTTAGGAGGGTATTTGGCTGAATTACCATCCTTTTCCTCCACCAGACCTGCCCCCTGCGCTCTGTTTATCATAGCATTACATGCACCCTGTGTGCTGACCTGCATATCAACAGAAACCTAATACGAGAGAGATCCTGCCTCTGATATGTGCACCAAATAACTGCTTCTAGATTTTGTGTCAGGAACATGTCATCTGTCTGTGAAACTATTTTCTTCAGATAGTTTTTATGTGGTAGTTTGCTTATTTGCTTGAAAGTCCCACTGTCTTCTCCTCATCTGAGTTTGCATTTCAGCTTGAAACTCTTGGCTTATACACTAATATATAGGGTAACTTTTATTTTTACTTACATAGAACTAAAATTACACTTGCACAAAATGCATCCTAGCATGTGCTTGTTCTGTCCTTGGGCAAACTAGAGCATTCTGTCTGAAAACTTCCTACGATCTAGAGAAAGAAAAAACTCCTTCCCTTTCCTTCCCTCTTTCCTTCGTTCCTTTTCCATCTGACTGAATTCTGCATTACAGAACCTTGACCAAAAATGAGCCAGCTGAAACTTTTGCTGGAGTGTATCAGTGCTTAGAATCATAGAATGATTTGGGTTGGAAGGGACCTTTAAAGGCCACCTAGTCCAGCCTGCCATGAGCGGGGACATCTTCAACTTGACCAGGTTGCTCAGAGCCCTGTCCAGCCTAACCTGGAATGTTTCCAGGGATGGGTCATCTACCACCTCTCTGGGCAACCTGTTCCTGCTGCTCCGTGTATAGACTTATCTTGTGTATCATGTGTCTTGTCCAGTATCTTGCTACTTGCAGGGAAAAGTGCCAGCTGTTCCAGAGGAGAAACAAGAAACTTTTCAGTAGACAGATGCAGAATTTTAACTGCTGTCTGAGGAAAGCTTCTCAAGATGCTGATGCAACAGATGACAGTGAAAAAGCAGCTATCCATCCTTGTTTTCACTGACAAATTTTGTAGCAAGGTCATAAATTTGAATGATGATTTGGGTTTTTTTAGGCTAGATTCATAAGGAGTTTAGATTATGACTCTTCAAGCTATGGATTTATCAGTAAATTGGGCCTGGACTGAATTCTACCTGGAATTCAAGATATCTGTCTGTCTGGCATTGATTTGTCATGTGATAACTTCAGTAAGAGAAGAGGAGCGTTCAATCGATGAAAAAGTAAGTATGGAAGAGCAGCAAGAAGAATCAGTGCTGATACTGATAGAAAGCTTAATAAAAAGGAGGAGGATGCTGGGAAGACTGCAGATACGACATCACACTTGAGCTTGTGATTTTATATTGTGTTTAAAAAAGTCTATCTGAATCACAAGTAATTAAGTAAAGAAATATTTTTTTGAAAATCTATGTCTCTTCACAATCCCCAAATAAAATTGAAACTGAGGTAACCTCAGTAAGTGTAGATAACTCATGCGTATATCATAAACCTTGAGAAATTCTGTCTTCAGTAGTCCTTGGTCCTGGAGTTGAGTTGGTCAGTTAGGACTAACAGGAGTAAAATATCAGTGCTCTGTGTAGTTTAGCTACAGGCAAGGAGTATGCAATGAGATGGTAGTCCTATTAAACTCCTCCACATTGTACTGGAATATCTAGTGCTTTTACTCTTTCGTGTACTCTCTGACTTGTGTGTGGATATTCTTCAGTTCACGTTAGTAATTCACATGAAAAGGGTACCAATATTGGTGACATTTTTAACACAAAGCGTATTTTTCAGATATCCCCAAATATTTAAAACTTTATTGTCATTGTTTAATCAAATGGTGATGTGGCAGATAATTAACAAATCCTGTCACACAGTTTCTCCAAAAAATATTTTTCCTCCAGTGAGTACATGGGTGGGTGAGTAAAGTTCAGTTGTACATGTTCTTGCAGCGACTATAGTCAATGTATTGACCATCTCGCTGGGAAGTGTTGTCTGTCTGTCTCGCTCTCTGAAGGGCCTGCCCTTGTCACAATTTTTTCAGGAGCTTTAATAATACTGTCGTTGGTTCATCAGCTAATACTGTTGATGCTACAGTCTTGCAGTGTTTCCTCAAAAACTATCCTGGCTTTTGCTATAGAAAGGAAAAACTGATTCCCAAATCAAAGAAGCTTCCAGGGCTGTAGTATGGTGTTTGAAACAAAAAAACCCACATTCAGTGATATGGACTAATACTGAAGGAATGATAACATCAACACGTTAAGTAATACCTTTTAATTCTTATACAGTTGACCAGAATTAAAACAGTAATGGAAAATAAAGAGTGCCCAAGACACTGCTAGCCATAGCTTTAGGAAAATACTTATTTTCCACATAAATAACCTACTTGAGAATTTTCTATTGTAGAAATGTAAACGATTTCTAGGTAAGTAGAAGAGAGAAAAATAACAGAGGGAAGAATATGTGCAGGAGGCATAAAAAATTTGAAAAAATAAATGGATAATAATTATGTTATGTTTTTCTGCTTCATCAAATACTTTGCCTAAGTTGCTAGGTAGTAAGTGAATGTCTCTTAAGTAACTAGAAAAGTGCAAATTTCAGATTTTTCAGCTGTTCCATTATGCTTCTGAAACATAATGGAAAATAAGTATGCTATGGCACATAACAGAAGTTAAATATATTTTAAGATCGTGCTCTAAGCCTGAGCAGGTAAGATGGGAAGATACACACAGCAGCATAACTCAACTTCTGTGACTGAATTGAGTAATATAAGGTACAGAAGGGAAACAGTTCAGTAAGGCTAATGGCAGCCACCTCAGCTCACCACCCTGTCATTTCTCTCTTTGTTCTTTGTTTTCGTACTTGCTTTCTTGGAAAATACAGAGGGAAGCTATCACATGGAATAATTCTGGCCTCAGCTCTCCATCCCAAGTGTCCCTTCCCCCCCCCACATCCACCCCGAAATGCTGAGCCAAATACATGTGTGCAGTCTGGCACTCCACTGACAACACAAGTAAGGAGAAACGAACAAATGGATGCAAAAAAAGTATAATTTAATGGGAAATTTGAAAGAAAAGTCTGAAGAGATGCAAGAAGAGCATAGAATGGTATGAAAAAGGTTAGGCTGGAGTTGTACTATTACACAGTGTGAGGGTAGTTGAGATAGAATGTCTGTAAATCTAGAATAAAGACTATGCTAGTAAGAAGTTAAGAACTGCTGAGACAGGAATCTGGAATCTTTTTTGGAGAGAAATATAGTCATCTGTGTAAGCTTTCTTTTTCTGTCTGAAGAAGCTGACTCCCACTGCCAGTTCCCGTTCCTTCTCTGTAGGGCTGACAGGTTTTTGTCTATGGAATGCACCATGGGCTGGGGGCAGTGATGCAGTCGTCCTCATCCGGTCGAGCAGACATTCCCATGTACTCTCTGAGGGCTCTACTTCCCTCTTGAAGTGCTAATACGTGTACACAAGCTGCCACAGAAAGGACATTAACTTTGATCTTGTTCTCAATATCAAAGTTGTACTTTGGGATGTTTTATTTAGAATTGTTAATTGTCTAACAGACTATACTTAAGATGCCGTCTGTGTGAGGAGAGTCATGCTGCTGGCTCAGTCAAAAGCAACTGGATTGGAATAGCTCCAGTGCTGTTACAAAGCAATGAGTGGGCCAATTGCTAATTTAAAAAATGAGAGACCAAAATAGGCATCGTAATGCACTGTTCTGTCTTCATTAGAACTGTTGGTGATGGGACTTTTAGTTTTCTTGTACAATGACAGTACATACTTAGCTCTAGGCAGTGCATTTAAACCATGATCTGGTACAGTTTCTAACCATGTGCTCATCTTTAAGTGTATGAAAAGTTTAATTGCATCTTTGCTGGTTTGAGGCCTTGACCATAAGTTTTCACAAGCACTAAAATCACTCTTGAGATTTTAGTGAAAGCTTTTTCAAATATCTTTCTTTGCAGGATTCTTTCCATTTGCATAAACGTTGTGTTAGAACACTAGGACGTATAGGTCCAAGAGTCCACGGTCTTTCTGTCTCGATAAATTTTGGACGCTCTGGTCTGGAGTACTGATCATGCTATCTGTGGTTTAACATAAGCTATTTTAAGCCTATGTCAACAGGCAGACATAGCTGCTTTTCCTAGTTTGGCGCTTCATAGGTCATGAGACTTGTCACTGTTTTGGACAAAAAAAATAAATTAATTGCATTTTGTGAGGTGAGTATGAAGTTAAGGTAAATCACATGTTTTCATCCACTCTACTGCTTTTGCCACGAAATCAGAGGTGTTTTCATGTAGGTGACTATTTAATTTAGTTTCCACTTTGATACAGCAGCAAAGACTCCGTCCGCCTCGGCCACCGCCTCCAAAGATACAGCGTTCATCTAGGCCCGTGAGTAGTTGGTAGTTTTGTTTCACTGCCACAGCTTAACACTGCCTGAATTACGCTCTTAGTAGCATTACTAAACCTTGGTAGTTTGGATTGTCAAACTTTGCAAAAAAGCAATGTGTGAATTATGCTCCTAAACTCCCTTCTTCTCTGCTGCGGCACAGCCCCGGGACCTGCATTTATTCTGCTTTTCTTTGACCAGTTCTGCAGGTAACTGATGCTGCTGTTGCAACATTTGTTTTTACTTTTGCGGTGATTTCTTAAACAAAAAGTTTTGCTAGGCTGGCATAAGTTTTTAGCCAGTGAGCTTTTGAAGACTTGCACTAAACTCAAACATGAAAGGAAGCACAAGTCTGAAGAGAAAGCGTTTATTCTCTGCAAGTTATGCTTTAAATTAATTCAGGGTGCTTAATTTTTCTCCATGGAATAGATGAGTGAACACACATGAAGAAAGCATTTATATTAATTTATATTTGGGTTTATATTTGGGCGGTAGAACATTATTGCCACATTATGGATGATACACATATATACTTTATGTTCATTTAAAATGCAAGCTGGGACTCTATGTAATTACACAGTATAAAAAATGTAGGCACAGCATGTTGGCCAGAGGAGGTGACTCTCAAAGAACTACACAGAAATTATTCTCAGCGCAATACCTGTACTGTATTAGACAGGGATACCTTATCTCAGCAGTTTTTCATTCAAAACACTAACTGTAGGACAGTTGTTACATATTAACTGTGCCAGATGGCTTTAAAACTGGAGACTATGCTGGATCTGCACCAGTGACTTTTTAGTTATTTATTTATTTATTCAGTAGTACAGGAAAGTGGTATCAGTTTAGAAGGGGTGTTGTTTTTGCAACAGCCTTGGAAGGGGTTTATTTCTATTCAGGACTTTTGCTTTATGAATATAATTCCCCCAAAAGGCAAATATATCTTACTCCTTGCTTCCTTATACATACATGTATGTGCATAGGAAAGAGAGAGATGCAAGTTTTCAAATCTAATCTTGCTAAAACTTGTTAAAAATATGTTTTGGATGAGCAGGCAACTGGTTAACAAGAGCACTTGGGTGTGTAACTTTTGATCTTTGGTGCATGTTCCTGTGATACATTTCAATAGCATGTGTTTCTTTTCCTTCCTCTTTTTAACTCTGGGTGTTGAGCTTAACAAAGTAATTTTTATGGATTCCTGCACTGAGATTTCTGTTTTCTGTGTTTAAAAGGTAGCATTGACTATGCTTGTATGTATTTTCTTAAATGTGATTGATACGGGAGACCCTCCCAGATATGTTACACTAGGAACAAACTTTGTGTGCTACTGTGGGCTTCCCACACTGCTTCGTAGCCCTCTTGTTTTGTGTTTGGCAGGTGGATGAGGGCACATTACGATTCCTCTATACAAAAGTTGATGAGCAGTATTGTTCAGATTGAGTAATTTATTACATGAAAGTTTTGGTAGGACTGTTTAATCTCCCAGCTGTGGTGCATTAATAGTCCTCACTCTTAACATGTTTGTGTCAACTGTCTTTGCTCCCAATGTGAATGATAAAAGGTTGGAAATGTAATAATGAAAGCTCCTGTTGCATTCATCTAGCTGTATCAATAAGTGGAACAGAAATGCTTCATTCATCAAGAGGAAATTCAAGATAAATGTAAATGATTATAATCACTCGCAAAAATATGCTTGTACCAAATATACATAAATTTGTTGTTGTTCAGAACTGTTATTTGGCTTTTAATAGTTGAAACACATTTTTGTGTGTGTAAATAATACTTTGTGCAGGCTGTTTTTTCCCTCTTAGTCTTGGCATATATTACAGAGGTGGGTATCAGCAAGTAATTTATGCTAGCCTTTTACAGCAAGCACTGACTGAGGAGACCAGGTCCTTCTGCTCTTCCAACCAAGTCCACATAATTACCAGAATTCCTGAGAAATACATAGTGTTTCTAGGATATATCTGTTACGAGGAGGAATCCATGGGCACTAGTCCTTGCAATATGAGTCATTACTAATAATACAAACAAAAACACAGACCAAAGAAAGGTTAAGGAAGCAGATATGTTCTTTCCATTCTGCTCTTTTGGAAATGAGTTGTGGTGGTATTATGAAAGAGAGCACGTTGTTCCTTATAATTAATTGAGATCTGTTTGCATTAATAGTGGCTGTTTGGAAACTTCATTCGATTAGAAAAAGTTAAAATATAATAATTATGTATAAATTTGTTGGGGACAGTAATAAGCACATTTAACCCTTATGTACTGGATGTTTGCCTTTATTCTGTTGGCTGTGTGCTCATGCACTTGGCTTGCTTTCATGCTTTTGCATTTGATAAGCATTTAACCTTGCCTATTTGGCTACATAAGGCTCAAGATCCAGCAAGGAATTGCCTTGATTTCTGGCTTTTCCCTGCAGTCCCCCATGAACAATGCTCTAAATCCTACTTAGCATGTCACCCTGCACTCTACTGGTCTGGTGGCCCCCTGGTGCAATCCAAAACTCTCATCTCTCTCCCTCATCACCATCACTCCCCCAGGGTACCACCCGAAAGGTGAAAGTGTTCACAGCATGATGACAAGCCAGCTTTACACATCATCTTCCAGCTCAGATTTAATTAAACAGGTTTCTTTCTTCCTCTCTTTTTCTCTTTCTCCTTCTTGCTCTCTTCTCCCCCCAGTTCCTCTTGCTTCTCTCCCCCTTCTCTTGCACGCACTCCCTCCCTCTTGCTCTCTCTCTGTTTTATCAACCCTAATGAAGCAGTATTCTTCATCGATCCTGCTGATTGCCAGCCCATTCCTTTTGTTTGTTGGCACTGAGCCATTTAGCCGCACTGACAGCTCAGCTCGTCTAATTAGCTGTTGTTCTTTTCCCTATGTTTCACCACGTTGCAAGTTCAGTTGAAGTTGCCACAAACTTAATCCTTCCATTCCTGCCATAAATTCACATTCTTAAGCCGTCTTTATTGTAGAGGGCAGCAGCCTTGTGTGGGGACTGATCTTCAAGACCTTAACATCTGACCTTTTTGTAAGCCCTTTTTCCTAAGAAATAGTGGCAATACATCTCTGGATTTCTTCATCATATCTGCTGTACACCATTTCCTTTGAAATGAAAATTCAATACAATAATCCTGCTACTATCTTCTGCATACTGTTGTGTAGTGCAGAAACACTACACACAATTCAGTGGCTTTTTCCTGGCAAGAAAATTTGAGGTTTATGTGCCTGGAGAAAAAAACAAACAAACAAAAAAAACCCACCAAAAAAAAAAACCAAACCAGAAACATCCCCTTTCCCCCCTCAACAAATAAAAAAAACCCCCAACAACCCCCCACACACACACACCCCACCCCCAAATCAAAAAACCAACAAAATCTTGCAGAGGTGGGGGGAAATCTGCATCTATTCTGTCATTGCAAACAAATTCATAAGTTATCCAAAGAGCACTTAGGTTGTAGGCCTTGAACAGCTTCCTTTGTAGGAGCACAAGCTTGGGGAGGTCAGCAGTTGAGTTGTCTTCCTAACTTTATTTGAGGGTTTTGGGGATTTCTGTTGAAACTAGCATTCAGCTAAAGCCAACAAATCAGACTCCGTTTCAGGTAAGGTGGTATTTTCTTAACAAAAAATGGAAATCTTGTTTGTACAGCCTGACCCTGGTGCTGCAAATGTTCATTCCCACATTTGACTCAAAGGGATAAGTTCATCAACAGGATTACTCACTAGTATAGGTAGGCACATGCATAAACTTTGCCTGTAGATCACAAGTGCTTATTCCTTTCCTTGAAGTAAAGCTTGTTTGTTTGTGGAGTTAACGTAAGTAAACTAAACTTGATTTCTGAACATTAGAAGGTGATGGATATGTTATTTAAGACTGGATTGGCAGCAACATCATCTTCCACAGAAAACCCTTGGATTTCACTACCAACAACGAAAGATAAAATAACATAACATTAGGTTGATAATGATAATATATCTGGCAAGGATTTCTGTTCAGCCACTGAAAGGAGACAAATTTTTCATGAAGAATGAGTTATGTTTTTCATGTTATAACATTTATTCTAAGTACAAATTTTTCAGTGCTCACTTACACAGAAGTCTTCACTTGAGAAGTCGGGTTCCTATGAACAAGAAGGCAAAAGGATCATGATGTCAGAGCTGAACTCTACTTTCCAATATCATGTACAGCAACACAAAGGATTTTCCAATTTTACTGTATCACCTAACTGCATAAGGGGAAGCTTACATTTAGGGAATCTTTTATCAGAAATTTAGCCTGTACCAAACAGGACAGTGGAACTAATTTTCATTGCTTTGCTAATAGCTAACAGTCAGTGACAAGCATATATGTTTCATTTGCTATTCAAAAACGTGGGTTTTTTTGTCCTAAAACAAATTGTGGGTCCTGTAGTTTATACTCATACTTTATAGTAATTTGTATATCTATATTCACTTGTAAAATTGTTGTGGCACAAAAAATAAAGATGTTTAAAAGCAATTCTGAATGGAAGATGCCCTTAAGATAATGGTGGTTATGCATATTTTGTTATTTATGTCTGTTGTTTGATCAACATCAAGTATTTGATGAAATGTCTTCTATGTGTGTGTATGTAATAGGTTCGCCCGCCAAGACCTCATGTTGTTAAGAGGCCCAAGAGCAATATTGCTGTGGAAGGACGAAGGACCTCAGTTTCTAGTCCAGAACAGTAAGTACTTTGCTGCTCTGCTTCTCTCTAGTTGCATCAACAAACACATTCAGAACTGGAACTAGCCAAGGGAGAAATTAAAAAATACTACAGATCAAAGTAATTTTTTAACTAACAAAACTTTTATTTTTTAATTTTTGGAACATTTTAGAGGAAGTGTGAAAAAGCAAGAAACCAAAGTTTACTTATTGGAAAATTCTAGTTTGCCAAGTTAGACATAATCTGATCAGCCTGTTTAGTGAGTTTTCAAGTTTTGGAGGCTTGTTCATGTCTTTGAATATTTATTTTGTTTTGAAGTATGCTTTAAATTAAATTGTTAGCCACATCCCTGCAAATCCACTGTTCTTGCTGGAAGATACAGAATTGTTTGTTTATAGTGATGGCAGTAAGGGTTGTGTCTCATGCTTGTTAAGAGTCCTGTTAACAAAAGGTCTGTAATAAGCTTTATAGTGAAGGCTTGTAGAGCCTGCTAGAGACTGCTCTTAGACTACAGGCAAAAGACTCAGGGGCGGCAAAATGGTTGCACTGATCTAATCCGTCACACCGATTTTATTGTAATTCATTGTAATTTGCTCTCTACAACTACCGGAAAGGAGGTTGTAGCGAGGTGGGTGTAAGTCTCTTCTCCCAAGTAACAAGTGATAGGACAAGAGGAAACGGCCTCAGGTTGCGCCATGGGAGGTTTAGATTGGATATTAGGAAAAATTTCTTCACTGAAAGGGTTGTCAAGCACTGGAACAGGCTGCCCAGGGAATTAGTTGAGTCCACATTCCCTGGAGGTATTTAAAAGACATGTAGATGTGGTGCTGAGGGACATGGTTCAGCGGTGGACTTGGCAGTGCTAGGTTAATGGTTGGACTCAATGATCCTAAAGGTCTTTTTCAGCCTAAACAATTCTATGATCTCTACCTGCAGCACAAAATAATTGCTTATATCATAGCCACCACATTATTTATGGCCCAGCCTGTTTTATCTTTATTGTCAGTAAAGTGAAATGGTTTAGCTGATGCCCAAGATTACAGGATATTTATTGCATCTGAAGGTACTAAAATCCCATAAAAAGAAAAATGGTTGGTTTCTTTAAACACACCTTTTTCCCACATGTGTGCCAGTTCCCTGTCATTACTGTTTATGAGGGAAAAAGAGGTGGAGGTTGGGTCCCCCTCTGCCCCCAAAAAGTTAAATGCATGGCTGGTTTTTTCCTAGCCACTCTAGGATGGGGAGATATTCTGGCTTTTAGCTAAAATGAATAGTCACTTCTAGATTCTATAGGCTTATTTATCCATTTTATAGTGGAATTTGGTTGCCCTCTTGTGGAGGAGATTGCAAATCCTGCAAAACGGCTTGTGCTGTTACAGGACGGTAGCTGTCCCTGCACAAAGATTATATCAATTTAAAAAAAAAAAAAGTTTTTTCTTAATATTTAATGTGATGACTCACTGCATGTAGTTGAGTATGTGTGTTTCCTGTGAAGGATTATGCATGTTTGGATTCAAAAGCTGCTTGACATTCCAGTGTGGTTTAATGCTAACATGTATTTCCAATTGCTGCCAGTATCACAACAGAAATAAACATAAACATGGATGATAAACGTAATGTTTATACTAATGCTAGTAATATAGTGAACTTTGATTATTATTTTACTTGGTTTCAATTTATTGCTGTTAATTTTAGTGAGTCTTTACAATTCAGCTGCTTTCACAGAGTAAACTACAAAAATGTTTTGTGAAAACGATTGACGATAATCTACTAGATAATGAAGATGCTTTGTAGCTATAAACTGACTTATTTTTCTTCATGAGCACATTACTGGCAGATTTTTCCATCTTTTAAATGTGGAAGAAAACGAGGTTCTGGTGCTAATACCACTGACACTTGCTATATGGTAGCAGTTGTGATCTCTTCCTGATGTTGCACAGCTTCGATGCGTTGTCCAGTTCAAATGCAGCGTCACAGCAGGATCTGATGTATTTTCATTCTTTCCTGTCATCAGCTTCAGGTGGCAAAGCAAACTTTGACAGAACTACTTCCAGACAGTTAATTTTAGAACATTGCATTCAACTAGATCTCCTGTAAGGTGTCTGGTTAGAATGTTTTAATAAAAACAAGTTGGGGCATTGTGGGAGATGGGACACAAAACATGCAACGATGATGAGGCGTACACTACAGCTGTGATTTTGGAACTACAGGTGGAGGAAATATCTAACCTTGTACTTAAATAAAGCTCAAATAAATGGCTTACCTAAGAAATAACTTAATAATTAGTTATTATTAACTAATAATAGATAATGACTTGGTGATCCTGACCTTTTTCCTTACTATTTATCTCAAAATTGTATTTTTAATAAAGGAAAAAAAATTCTTTAAATAGTAATTAAAGATAGGATCTTCATGACATTTTCTGCAAACTTTCTTTTTTCTGTCCCAGTAAGAAATAATCTTCCTATATTGTTCTGAAATGAAAACATAAAGCCAGGTGTTGTCTCTTTAAAAAATTCAAGACCAACACTAACTTTTTGGTCTTGAATGATTACATGAAGGCTTCAGAGACATTTCCCAGGATATCTGACTAATTGGCTCAGTCTGTGACTTTTGCATCCTCTTTCCAGCTGGTGGAGACAGGATCCTCAGGGCAGTGTGCCACTAACCGCTACACAAGCCTGACACAGTGAACTCATTTCACGGGGCAGCCGCTTCTCCATTTGTAATGTTGCATGTCATCTCTGAAAAGTAAACCGTTATGTAAGCGCCCTTTCAGTTGTTACGTTTGTTAATGCATTTCTTATGATATCAGGAAATTTGTATCTTCAGTTACGTGAGTTAATTTTTTTAATGTGTATAAAAGAAAAACATTGGTTTGGGGGTATATGTGCTCATTTTCTAGTCAGTCGTCAATTAAAACGCAGGAGGGCGAGAGCAGTGACTTCAAAGAACACTCGAGATTATTGCTAATGTCTGTTGTTAAACCATCATATTTAGAAGAGCTGGTGGAAGAACTATTGTTTCCTCCATCAAAATTGTCAGTGATTTTTTTTTCTCTATTTCAATGGAAGGTTTATTTTTGTACAGTTTTATTAACAATTCAAGGTTTGTGATGTTTATGATTCTTAAAAATTTGTCATTAAGTCTAAAATGTATAATTTTTTTAAAAACTTTTTTAGTTATAAAGTAACAGGAAGAACTTGTAGATGAGAGCTCAGAAAATGCTGGATTACCACCTGGGACAATCTGAGACACATGGGACATGCCACCTTAAACACAAATTAATTGTTCACAGAAATAAGATGTTGCATTTTTAACAGATAGGCAGTTTTTTGAGAGCTCTCTTTTGCACCACAGCAAGATTTCCTATTAAATGTAGAATAGGCTTCCAGAGTGCTCTAGGAATTGTCTTCTGTAAGTACTGACTAGCTGGCTTCCAGGGCATGCAGAGTGGGAGGAAATTAAAATAGGAAATCAGAGGGTCAGGCTCACAATTAACGGCATGTCAAAAGGCTCTTGGGCTGGCTAAACCCATGTCAGTGCTGCAGCAGTTCATTATGGCTTTCTAGAAGTCGCGTAGCTTTCTAGAAGTCGTGTCTGACTTAGTAGAGAAGCTAATGGCTTTCCCTTATATCGTATGAATGAAAATAGGCTGCAGTGCAATAGTGGGTTATTACGCTGAATGTAGTATGAAGTCAGCATGATGGCCGTGTTAAATGATACAGGCTCATAAAGCACATTAAATTCCATTTGTAACCAGGCGCTCAGAGCTCTGCCACACAGAATTTGTGTATGGTAAAGGTTTTCCATGGCAGCACTGCAAGCAGGGATCTCTGCTTCTGAAGAAAGCTAAGCCAGCAAGTACATATTTGAACAAGGATGGCTGGAATCAGAAGGAAAAATACTGCAAGCTATAGCGGACAAGACTCGCTGCGCACGCTTTGGTTCCTCTGCCTTGGGAGAGGCGGTGAAGAGGAAGCTAGGTAGAAGGTAGAGCCAAGAAAGCAGATGCCCAGCAAAGGGACAGCAAACGGGAAAGAAAAGTTCCGAGAGCAGTCGGGTTTTGCTGCAGGCCTTGCCAAACACGAGCCGTCGCAGCAGGCAGGGGGGGGGGGCCCTGCTGCCCTTCGGGAACCCCGGTCCTGCCTGGCTCTCCCATCTTTCCAGTATGATGGTTATAAGAAGCTTTAACTTTGGGGCCTATTTCTGCTGTCTGCTTTGGAGTGAACTTGCTGAATGTATGCAGCTTGCCTTTGTAAAGAGATATGCTATCTGCGGGGGAAATCGGTGAATAGATCCTTAGCACCGAGAAATAGGACAAAAATGTAAAATAACATTGTTCGAATCTTGCATCTAGACCTGTTAGAGCAGGCAGAGGTGTCATCTAGCTTGTTCCCACTTTAAATTCTTTGTTAATATTTCCACCTTGCTAGAAAACTTGTAAATAGTTCATAAAAAACTATAAAACAATTAGTTACCTGCCTTTACTGGGTGTAGTGATCACAGGCCGTTGTTTTTGTTATCTGGTTGGATGATTTGTGATATGAATTTGTTTGTTGTTTTAATTTAAAATATTCTTTGTGCTAATGTATTTGTTTTTCTGGAAATATTCTACTCCCATGAACATTCGCAGTATACAAAGTGACACTTTAAAAATCAAATAGATACTTTAATATTTTTGTTAGCTCACACTTGGGTGTACTGGGTATTCAGGATATGCAGGAAGGAATTCCAGTGATAGGTCTGTGCTTTGTTCAGATTGAATAGTTACTCGGTAATCCCCTCAGTCCCAAGTCTCCTATTTCATACCGGCAAGAAAAAGCCCGTGCATCCAAATCCCTCATTCTCTTCATTTTGCTGTCTAAGAAGGACAAATTCCTTAATTCCCTAGAGCTGCTGTATAGCTATTCTTTAAAAAAAAAAAAAAAATTAATAAAAATCCTCCCTCAAATTTTGGGAGCCCTTTTTAGGAGAATAATGACAAGTCCACACTACCCCTTTGTACCATAATCTCGGTA